CTTGTGTTTTTATCAGTCCCTTGCCCTACACATCATGCTATTTTTATTATATTGGAAGACACTCTAAAAGATTTATGATCTCTTCAGCTCATATTCTAGGGACTGACTCCGATCTCACTGGTTAGAAGGGTGTCCTCCACAAACTCAGTCAAAAGTTTGTGTATGGTTAGTCACAATGTCATTAGTAGTTTCAGTTTACCAATCTGGATGTTAAAACAAACATCTCGATTAAACTAAATCCACATAGCTCAGAGAATCGCATTCTAGAGGAACATTCTCAATCCTTTTCTAGTAAGCTGCAAATGGAAAGATAGGGTCTGCATAAAACAGGATCCCCAGACACCTAGTTACAGAAACGGCTTGACCACTCAGTTACTGGCACGTACAAAGACAGAAGCTTTCTTAAACTGCTCTAAGTAGATATCAGCATTTAAGCATACCTGTCTCCAGATACCTTGGCCTTTATGGTATCAGTGCACCTATGTGGTCATAAATCCTTTTTTACATTTACCTTCATCTAATCTTCTGTTAAGGGCGATTTCAATATCAAGAATAAAATCCAACTCATGACGCTTACACTATATCCACGTAAAGCTGTGAGCCTTCTCAAAGGTCCCAACACCGTATCAGTCCTCGTATGAGTTCATAAGGTAATCACTCCCTGCCTAAGACACCTCAGGAATTAGCAAGACTGTATCTGGAAACTAGCAGATATCAAAGGTTCACTGACATGCAAAAGGAGAAGGAGGAGACAGTCTAAATTCTGCAGGCTTGCCAATGAGCTGAAGAAATCATCAATTAACTATTATGTGCAAGGCAGAAGCATTCATGTTCCGTAAAATGGAAAACCTGCTTCATACTAGGTAACATGCCAACTTGCTACAGTACAGCACAGTGGTTCCCAAAACTTTTTCTTAGCTTCTGCTGTATTCCTGTTGGTCCTCTAGAGCAGGCTGCCTCCCATTACAGCAACTTACTGCCAATTAGCTGATCCTTAGTATCTCACAATACCTGCAATACAGGAACCTCTGTGCAAATAAGAAGTTCCAACAGAAGCTGGCAACCCCCACCACCCCCAGTCCCAACAAAGAGTGGTACCACATGCAGTCCATTACATAGACTGG